GTGACCCCTGAGAAGTGACACTGGAGCATAAGTGTGAAGGAGGTGAGGGAGGAATGGGCTCTAGGCAAAGGGACCAGAAGCGCAAAGGCCCTGAGTGGGGAGTTGGGCTCCCCCAACCTGAGGAATAGCTGAGGCAGCCTGGCTGCAGGGAAGGGAGAGTAGGGGAGAGGAGCAGGGGAGAGGGGGAGGGAAGGGGAACAGATTATACCTCTGTCCCTGCCCCACCTCCCAACACCCATACTTTAGCAAATTAACATGCAAACCAAGGCTCTGACTCTAGCCACACCACCCAGGAGTTAAGTCACCCATTGCCTAGGGGAAGGTTTTCTAGGGAAAGCCAAAGAAAAGAGTGTCAAGTTCTTGGCTTTTAAGTTTCAGAAGGCCAGGTATAAGATGGGAAACTATAGAAGGATGCAAGTTCTCCACACTGACCCAGGCCTCCCTCCGTATCCTCCCCTGATTCTCAGCCAGGCTACATAAAGATTCCATGGGCTGGCAAGGTAGGGTGGAGATGGTCCTGAAGGGACCTTCTGAGAGGAGATGGGGCAGCCAGAGGCCACCAGGTCTGCTTCCAGGACCAGGTAGAAGTTAACCCCGAATCTGGGGTGAGGAGTGGTTGCTCTTCTACTCCTTGTCACCAAGAGGCTGACGGCAACCAGGACAACATCACTCATCTGGAGGAGTGATGCTCAATGCTTTGCCCAAGTGCCATCCAACCCCTTTCCAAGAACCCAGGGCACTTAACCGTCACCGTCAAGCTCCAGACGGAAGATGGAGCCTGACACTCAGGGTCTCACCAAGTGAGGAAGGTTCTAGATCCCCGACTCTGGTTATATACTCCAATGGGATTGCCTGTTGCCTGCCCACCTCTCATCCCGGCTGAGCTCCATGAGGGCTGGGTCGAAGACGTTCTTCTTTCTGTGTGTACCTCTCTCTGGATTTGACTTCTTCTATATTTTCAGGGAGTCAAATCTGTTGAGAAGTTTATAACCTGGGTTTCATATGTCCGTTGGGAGATTTGGGGGGCAAGAATTGTAGGTGAAAGTTGGGCTGTTACACTCACTTCTTTCTGGTTTTCATCAGATTCTTAAAGGAGCTGCTGATGCAGGAAAAGTTGAGAATTGCTGGAATGGGGAATATATAATGTCACCCACAAGTACTAAAAATAGTGCCTACTCTGGGCCAAACTCTTTCATGTTTTGTTTCATCCCAAACTTGTGGGGTACGTGCTAACTATATTGTCAATTTACATGCAGGGCAATTGGCTGCAAGGGAGGTCAAGGCACCTGGATCAAGTAGTAGAGCTGAGCCTTGAACCCAGGTGTGTGTTCAGAGCAGCTCTCTGTGTGCCCCGCAGGCCCCTCCCCGCCGCCTGCCTTTGCTCCCCATCATAGGATGCACTAGCCCTAAGACATCCAGATTTCCCTCACGCACCCATTCTGGCTTTGTCACCCTGGAATGTTCTATAACTTCTATTAAATTTCATTTTCCTTTCAAATTTGGGCTGAACTCCTCTTTGAGTAAAGTGTTTGTTCATGCTGTAGGACACAAAATTCTTTTACTCTGTTATAAATCTGTCTTTCTTCTTCAAGGTGAACCCTGAGTCCTAAAACCCTGGACTTTAGTGAATGACACAGAATTTGTTTTCTTTGTCCATTTATTCAGATTTCCTAAACTTCATATGTCAAAGTAAAGCTTGAATAGGTAATACCTCTGCTAATAGCTATCGCTCATCAGATGTTTCCAAGTGACTGACATGGGGTTGATTTATACTCAGGAACTCATTTGATCTAGCTCTGAGGTAGGTACTATTATTATTTTATAGTTAAGAAAACTGAGGTTTAGACCGGTAACATGAGCTGCTCAAGGTCACAGAGCTACTAAATGGCAGAGGTGGGCTTTGGACCCAGATCTGGAGAACTATTACCCCATTTTGCCAAGCCACTTCCCTCTTCACTTTGGTTGGTAGGTGTACTCCTGTGCATGTCTCAGTGGTGACAATGACCCAGGAGTGTTTGGGTGGCTGGATTCAGTAGGACTGCTTTGCTGCCAGTGGGGAGGTCAGAGTAGAGAAGACTTGTTTTCCCCAAGGGCTCTTGAATTCCAGGCCCTCTTTCAGTCTGACCACAGTGAGGTAACCTGAAGAGGTAGCATAATACAGACTCTGACTGGAGTCCGATCTGGAACCCAGCACCCTGTGAGAATGTGTACCACTGCTTGGCCACCTTTCCTTTTGGAAAAGGGCAGTAGGTTGCTGTTGCCTTCCTGTGTCTCCTGAGTGGCCTCCAAACACCAGTGATGTGTGAGGTCATCAGAACCAAGCAGCTCAGGAAATGCCTTTGGTGCCTATGGCTTCAGGTATCTGTGGTCCAAATTACAACTTGCGCCTGCCCAGTGAGCCACACTTCGGTGTTTATACCACAATTATCTCACTGAATCCTTTGGGATTCCTGATAGACTGTGATGATCATGTCCATTTGATAGATGGGAAAACAGGCCAGAAGAGGCAGGGGGTGAACTGCTCAAGGTGATACAGAGCCAAGAGTTGAACCCAGGTCCTACTGACTCCAACTTGCTTGCACTAAACCAGTGATTTTCAGACCTCATTCTGTGGAACCCTCGGGTGCTTGCAGCAGGCCAGAGGGAGGGGCTGAGGAGGAGGGCAATCAAGGGGTTGAGGCTCTGTTGTCCCTTTCTTTCTTTACTCTGGTCCACAATTATGTCAGGAATCTGTGTAAGGCCTGTTTGAAAGATCTGTGCTGCTAACAAAATGTTTTCAGAGGACTGCTCCAAACTGCTCCTTCTTCCCTGGAAATTGGGTTCAGGCTCTTCTTTTCCTAGGACTCTTATCTGTATTGAGGCAAGAAGACATCTGCTCTCTACTGGAGGATGTACTCAACCCCAACATGGCAGCACAAGGGAGTATAAAAGGTACTGGACAGGGAGGCCTAGTTCTAGGGTCCTAGTCCTAGTTCGGTGTCACTTAGTCAAGTTATTTATCTCAGTCTCCCTATCTGTAAAGATGAGGGGATTGGCCTAGATAATTCTGAAAATTCAGTTTAGCTCAAATAACCTGTGGATCTGGGATATCATCACGCTTAGTTCATGGGATCTTAAACAGGGATGAGTCATTCGAAATTGTATAAAAATATTATATATATATATATAGTGCATTTTTTTTCTGGAAGGAGAATGTACAGCTTTCATCAGAGTCTCAAAGGGGTCTCTGACACAGAACATCTAGCTTCTCAGGACTTTTTCTTTCTATTTTTTTTTTTAGACAGAACTGGTGGGAGATATTTCTCCTTTTGGGGGGGTTCAAGTTGTAACAATGGTGTGAAAAAGCTATTTGCAGAAAGGAAATGGGGAAAGATAAGCAGAGCTAAAAGATGAAAGCTAAATGAAAGAGTTAGAGCCTTCTGAGTAAGCTGACAATCTTGTTTAAGCTCCTGGATGCAGCCATGCCTGATACCCCTACACTTTTCAGTTACATGAACTATTGCTCCTTTTCACTAAGCATTTTCTATTCAATCACCTATAGAAGAAATGATTGATGCACTAACATTATTAGAAAAGTCTCCTGCCATTTGAAAAAGTATGAAGCTCAGCAAAGGAAAAGCAAAGTGGGAAGAAAAGGGATTGAGGTGGATGTGTTCCTGTTACGCTTTTTTTGAATTTCAGGGAAGAAAAATGCTCTGTTTTGTTCCCCATCCTATATTTATATTTATAATAATAATTATTATTTTAGCAAATTGGAGGCTTTTAGAGACAGAAAATAACTTAGAATCAATACCATCATTACACAGATGGAAAACCAAATCCAGAAAGGGAATGTGACTCTCTTGAGGTCATGCAGTAAGTCAATGGGGGTTACCTTCTCCCAGGTATGCTCCTCCTCTCTGTGTGACTTTCCTCAGTGCTTCTTTCCCAGGCAGGCTCCTCAGTGAGCAGAGCTTATGAGGCTTTTTGTGCTCATGTATGTTGCTTGCTCACCCGGATCCATATCCTATCCAGAAAATCCTTCAGTCTGGACTTCTTTATCAGGTTCCCTGGACACAGGTAAATAATGGAGTGTTTGGCCTTGGGGTGCAGGGAGGAGGTGAAAGGAACCAATCCATCTCTCTGTCTGAGTCCCATCCCTCTCAAGTGACAGGCCTGCCTACTCTCCTGGCCACAGAGCCCCAGCTGGGATTGGGGTCCCTAGGACCAAACCAGACATTGCCCCGTGTTGTCCACAGCAGAAGGATTAGATACTACTAACGGTCCAAAGCAGGCAAGCAGGATTTATGGGACCAATCCACCGGCTCACTTTCAGCCACAGGGTCAGATCTGTTTAGCCCTGGAGGGCAATAACGGCAAGGGTAGAAGGGGGGCCAAGAGGCCCCAGCACAACTATTGGCCACAGGACCGGGGGGACGGACGGGGGACAAACCTGAATGGGAAAAGGAAACTCCAGATCCTGCCCACCTCCCCGTTCACAAACTGCTCAAAGGCGCACAGGAGAAATGACCTTTAATGTCCAATTTGTTTCCAACCCCGCCCAAGTGCCATCATTAAGTGAAGTACAAGGAAGGGCTTGAGAGGTATGAAGTCACGAGACAAACAACGCCCCCGCTGCCTTCCGGGCGCACACTCGCTCTGGCCCCGCGCGGGCGGCCGCCCCCCCAACACACATGCAGACCACACGGACACCGCACAGACACACGCACGTGTACCCACGGTTAAATACATGTACAAGGGACTCGTTTGGATATGTACAGAGAGAGAGAGAGAGAGACGGAAATCCCGGCCGGCGTCGGGTCCCCCAGGCTCTTAGCATGCTCGGCCCAGCTCTCCGCGCTGTACCTGGCACCCATGCCCCTGCCAGAAAAGCAGCTGCCCCTCTCCCCGCCCCCCTCCCCCCCGGACCCTCCCCCACCCCGGGCCCGCGTCTCCAGGAGCCGACGTCCCCTCCCGCCCTCCCCCCCACGATGGTTTCCTCCCCCCCCCCGGGGGGGACCCTAAAACTGCACGGGCGCCAGGGGCATGTTGGTTTTGAAGCCCGGCTGCCCGTTGGCCACGTCGGTCGCGGCCTCGCAGCCGCCGTTGCTGGCGCCGCCGTCGTCCCCGGGGCTCTCGGGCTCGGCCAGGAGCTTGAAGGTGAAGAGCGGGCCCGAGTCGTGGCGGCCGCGGCGGCCGGGGGGCTCGGGCGCGGGCAGACTCAGGAGCGCGCCGGGCGCCTTCCACTCGGGGAAGGCGCACAGCTCGACGGACGGCGGCGCGCCGCGGCCCAGGTAGCCCGGGCTCGGCGAGGCCGAGGGCAGGGTCCGCTGGCTGCCGCTCAGGCAGCTGCCGCTGTCGTCCAGCGAGTCCTTGCGCGACTGCGAACGCTCCAGCGAGCCGCCGCGCGTCCACGGCCGGTAGGTGTAGGCGCAGCCGCCCAGGCGACGGCGACGGCGGCGGCGGCGGCGGCCGCGGCACTGGCACCCGAGGATGCGCACGAAGGCGCGCTTGAACTCCTTGCTGGAGCACGGGTAGATGATGGGGTTGAGGCAGCTGTTGAAGTAGCCCAGCCAGAACACCACCTTGAACACGGCGTCGGGGGGCTTCAGGGTGGAGAACAGGGAGCCTGCAGCGGGGAGGGGGGTGGGTGGGCACAGGGGCAGAAAGACAGACGTCAGTTCGTGAGTAGTCGGGCCCTCTCCGCGTGCTCCGCCTAAACGCCGGGAACGCGCGGCACCCCCGCCGCCACGGCTCTGCCCAGGCCACCTTCTCTGCCCGGAGTGCTCTCCTTTCCATCTCACAGTGAGCGAATCCGACATTCCTTTTTAGGGCCAACCTCGATGACTTCCGCTTCACCCCTAAAACCATTTCTGGTCTAGCTAACCAGCACCTAAGCTCCCATTTCTCTCGATTTCCCGGGACAACGCTTACCACTTTCTACCCCAGCGATAATCATCATCACCTGCATTCGCACAGCTCTTAGGTCGGAAGCATTGTGCTAGGCGCTTAGCTATATTATTTTGTCCTACAGAAAGGCCTTGAAGCAGACGCCGATTTATTTCCATAGTAAATATGAGAGGTATTAAAGACCTAAATGTGAAAGGTAAAACTTTAAAGGTAAAAGAAGACAACGTAAAGGACGATCTTTTTGATCTAGGGGGTGAAAGAAACACGACTTAACACTTCAAAAAGATAAACTATGAGGCAAAGATGCGAGAAGATATTTCCAATGTTTAAGACTGCCAGGGCATCGATGTTTAGAATATATAAGGAACTCCTGTAAATCAACAAGAAAAAGAGCATTCCCAGTAGAAATGTGGGCAAAGAAAATGAACGGGCAATTTACAAAACAGGAAACCTCAGGGCTAACGAACATAGACCAAGATGCTCAAAATATTAGGGAGTCAAATAAATTACAATGAAAACCACAACGAGATACAACGTATCTGTTAGGCTGGCAAAAATCAGAAAGCTGGAGAGTGCTAGATGTAGGTAGGGTTGTGGGGACAGGGGGGAGCCTTCTGCATGGCTGGTGGGGGCACAGGCTGTGAAGCAGTTCTGGAGACTCTGGCCCCACTTGGTCTCATTAATTATATATACAGACTTCTTGACCTAGCAGTTCTGCTCCAGGGCATAGATCTCAAAGAACTTTCACACAGGTCCATAAGGGGACATGCATGAGTATATTCAGAGCAGTGCTGCTTATGGTGACAGAGAGTTGGAGAGAACCTAGGTGTCCCTCACTGGGAATTATGGAAAAGTAGACTGGGGTAGATGCCTAGCACAGCGATTATGTTGCACTTAGAGCCCTGGATGGCATGTCCATATGGCACTATGGAAAGATCTTAAAAACATCATTCTTTATGAACGAATAGGAAACAGAATGGAGATTTACAACATAATACTATTTAAGTAACACACCAAACAACCACACACATTTTGCAAAAAAACTTCAAATAATGTCAAACACAAAATAGTTGCCTAAGGGTGTAGGCAGAGGGAAATGGAAATAAAAGGAAATCAATCAATAAAATACAATGAGGTGCTATGATGGAGAAACATGATTAACTCACCCCTCTAATTTCAGAGCTAAAAATATTTTATGGCAATATTAAATTAAAAACAATTTCCATTTTAAATGTAAGGCAACTAAGACTTGGAGAGGGTAAATGACTTGCCCCAGGTTACACAGCATGTTGGTAGTATAGCTGGGATTTAAACTAAATTCTGTTTGAATACAAAATAGGTTTTTATTTATTTATTTATTTATATTTATTTATTTTTCTTTTAAAAGATTTTATTTATTTATTTGACAGAGAGAGACACAGTGAGAGAGAGAGAGAGAGAGATTGAGCACAAGCAGGGGGAGAGGGAGAGGGAGAAGCAGGCTTCCCGCGGAGCAGGGAGCCCGTCGCGGGGCTCGATACCAGGACCCCAGGATCATGACCTGAACCGAAGGCAGATGCTTAACGACTGAGCCACCCAGGCGCCCACAAAATATGTTTTTAAAATGCTATTTATAATACCCTTTGTGGAAAAATGAGAAAATACAAAAAAGCAAGAAGAAAAAAATATTTTGAAAGCACACATAACCCCGCAACACAGAGAGATCACATTTGGTGCATACACCTTCAGATTTTTTTTTCCTGTTGTATATATACCTTTAAATGTTTTGATAAATGCAATTATACTTTATAGGACCTTCCTTCCTTCCTCTCTTCCTCTCTTCCTCCCTCCTTTCCTTCCTTCCTTCCTTTTTTGTTACTTCAAACCATGTCCCTGGGCTCCTGGTGCAGGGTTAAGCCAGGCAAGGGTTTAAACCTAGAAAGGGGTTATCCAGGGACGCCTGGGTGACTCAGTGGATTAAGTGTCCGACTCTTGATTTCGGCTCAGGTCGTGATCTCAGGATCTTGAGATCAAGCCCCACGTTGGGCTCCATGCTCAGTGTGGAGTCTGCTTGAGAGTCTCTCTCTCTCTCTCTCCTTCTCCCTCTACCCCTGCCTCCTCTAAATAAACTCTTAAAAAAAAAAAAAAAGGAAAGAGGGCTACCCATGCATGAATGTAAGTGCTAATTATACAGGTACTGATTCTTTTCTTTTCTTTTCTAAGTTTCTTTAAGTAATCTCTCTACCCAACGTGGGGCTCAAACTCACAACCCTGAGATCAAGAAGCACATGCTGTACTGACTGAGCCAGCCAAGCAACCTGCTACACTGATTCTTTTTCCAACTCAGGGGGAAACGTGGGAGTGGGCTAGATTCTTGGTTGGCTTTGGGGAGGCAGATGAGGGTGCCACTTCGTGGTCTTATCTGCTACAAGGCCGGCACCATTAGGTTTTCATCCCACCCTCCCAGATACTCCTTTGGATTAAGACGCTGTATGGAAAGCTCCGGCTGAAGTGCACATTTGGCATGTGAACACTTAGGACCCATGACCAGATGAGTTGTCTCTGTCCATGGGGATGTTCTTGTTTCTGTCACTGAGTCTGAAGGGCACAGACACTGGTCTTGACAGATTCAAAACTGGAGAATAAATTTTGGGAGAAGTGGAGAGAAGGTGGAAAAGAGAGGAAACCTTGTGCATTACCCTGGAGGGTAAATGCTGATGGAGCGTGTATACAGGCAGGCACACTGCCCTAACAAGGACACTTAGGGTCCAGGGCTGGGGATGCATAGACAGTCATGCAAAAGTGAGGAGATCAAGAGTAGGGCAGCTTCCTGAAAACAGACTCGTAGCATTGCTTGCTAACCTCATTGAATTTGACAGTAAAATATAAATGGCTTCATGGGGATACATCCTTAGAGACTGGCTCTTTTAAAGGATACACTAACAGCCATAATGCCAATGGCTGATATTCTTCAGAACCACTGTTTATACTGTGTGTGTGCTCTGTACAGGTCTTGTGCTCAACCTTCATACCATCAGCCCATTTAATTATCACCATAATCCTTTGATGCATGTACTATTGTCGGTCCCACTTTATGGATCGGGACACCAACATATGAGAGTAGTAGCTATTTCCATATTTATACATCTATCCGTTTGCTCATTCATTCATTCCACAAATACTGAGTTTCTGCTAAGTGCCAGGCAGGAGGCCAAGCTGCGGGGATACAGAGATGACTTGGGGTGTGGCCTCCGCCCTCAGGCAGCCCACAGACCAGTGGGGAGGCAGACGTGTTAACAGGTCATTGCAACAGAATACCTGTGGTACCACGAAAGCGGCATAAATGTTACTCTGTCCTCCTACGCCCATGTGGCATTTCTTTCTGGTTCTTCTTCACCTCCGTCATACTGGAAACCCCTTATCAAGGATAAAGATGGGCTGGATCTTTGCCTTTATTTTCTTACAAAGTATTCTTCAAGGACTATGGCTCTGAGAAGTATTCAGCCAAAAGTAAGGGGATGATGCTGACTTTTTTCATAGCATTTATTTACAGCCACATTGTGAGTTTGGGCTCCCTGAGCTACTAGTTCTTCTGAGAAGGTCATTCTCTGCATTCCATTCTTTGCCTGCCTGTGTCATCCTTCTGCCGATTTAGGCAATGTGATCCTGTGGCTTGAATACAGGGTGTGGGATCACTCAGACCTAGTTTTGAGTCCCCTTTTTTGGTGTACTGGCTGTTGACTTTAGAAAAGTTAATTGGCCTCCATTTTCTCATCCATAAATTGGAGATAGTATCTGTCCCACAGAGTTATTTTGGACACAAGAAAATATCCATGTAAAATGGATAATAATTGACATGGGGATAATAAATAATAAATAGTGGCCATTTTCTAAAAATACTTTATATCCTGGCCCAGTCAGGAGCCTTTTCCAGGAACTCTGCTCTGATGAACCCCTCCCAACTCACATTGACTTCTTTATTTTTTATTCCACAGAAGGTATACAATCACATCTTATTCTGTTATTTTACTGTTTGCCTGTTAAAGTTGTAAAGCCATCCCAGGGCTGGCTGAGTCCTCGTTCACCACTCAGACTTTAAATTCCTTCTGGGCAAGGACTACCTCTTAATTTCTTTTCTTTCCCTCTCCAGATTTGTATATTTTTATTACAAAAATAACAGATGGAGGGATGAATAGAGGGAACACAGAGGATTTTTAGAGCAGTGAAACTACTCTATATGATGTTATAATGGCGGATACATGTCATTATACATTTGTCCAAACCCATAGCATGCATGTGTAACACCAAGAGTGAACCCTAATGTAAACTATGGACTTTGGGTGACAATGATGTGTCGTGAGGTTCATCCATTGTAACAAACGAACTACTCTGGTAGGGGCTGGTGATAATGGCAGAGGCTGTGCTTGTGTGGGGGCAGTGGGTGTGAGGGAAATCTCAGTACCTTTCTGTCAATTTGGGTGTGAATATAAAACTGCTCTAAAAAAATAGTCTATTAAAAAACCTCACTTGGGGCCCCTTGCTAGCTCAGTTGGTAGAGCATACGATTCTTGATCTTAAGAGTTGTAAGTTTGAGCCCCACATTGGGTGTAGAGACTACTTAAAAATGAAATCTTAAAAAAATATATATATAGCAACCACCTCATTTACCTAAAATAAAGAGCGATAGATACTGATTTAAAAAAATTACATTACAAAAAATTCTACATAATATAAATTAAA